CTTCCTGAATTTCTCTGTGCATATTATATATATATATATATATATATATACCAACACGTGCATTAATCTTCCTCAGCTCGAGGTACATCAATCTAATCGCTTTCTTCTATTATATGGCTACTGATAACTGGGCGTTATTTTATTTCATTTCTTTAAACTGTGTTGGGTATATTATACTCGTTTGCTTTGTTGCACGAAACAGGAGACAAAAAGTGTGGGGAAACGGAGACTTTTCTTTCGCATTTGTTTGACAAACAAACGAGTCTGTAACCCTATATACATAGAGGACGAAATTTCTTCACAGATTACATCCACGTACAACCTACAAGTCTACATAACACACGCAACGTATAAGAAGACACTCCGGACTCCGGTCAAAAGCCCAGATCTCTGGAGTTTCCTGTATTATGTACATGCATGTATATATTTATGTAATAAGCTGAGCTCACCGCAAATCTCTCGCGCACCAACGGAGAACAACTTACAGCAGTCGTATACCAACGTGCATAAATGTATTTACACTTTGGGTGAAATCCAATAAGACACGTATATAGTACACGTCGCGTCCCGCAGTTTACGTGTGCATCGGAGAAACCTCGCAAAAGACCTTTCGCGCATCCACGTATATATGTAAGCAAACTATACTCGCATACTATGTGGAAAAAAAAAAAACGAGATGGAGTAAAAATATATAAGTATACGCCTTTTTGCGACTTTCGAAAGAACGACGATGTACAATACATTTTTTTGCTGACGATTTGGTGCCTGGAGCTATATATACATGCATATGATATATTGTATACCCAATGCAAATTGTCTTGCTTTTTACGTGCAGAGTACGTTGTATGAGCACGTACAGGTGTAAGTATATTATTATATGGTATAAGATATGAAGAGGATAGGAGGAATTCGAAAGGCGCGGGTTCGACATTGAAAGCTGCGCATTGAATGCAGCCACTTGTATATATATATACGTGTTATGTCTATACCTCTCTCGGGGGGCATTGTTTTAATATTGATAGTTGCGAGGAGCTGTGATTTTTTTTTTTATAGCAGGTGCGATTGTCCGATGGGAAAAGGTGCTCGGGTCGCGAGGAGAGAGGATCGTCAGATATTATATTGTTTTTACAAGCTATTGACGCTCGGGAGTGAATCGCTGGTATATTTAACAACTTCTACGAAGATGGAGGGGAAAAAAAAGGCCAGCTAATCGCCGCTTTGGCAAGGATATAATGAACGGGCTTTTTTTTTCCTTCTTCTTTTCTCAAATAACATCGGCTGCATCATCGAAAGTAAGTGCGTATAACATATATACCAAAAGTATATACCCTTGACAGCCAGCAAACAGTGGTAATAAAAAAAAAAATCTCGAGCTCTTGCGACCTCGCGCCTTCGTTATCAATGGCGCGGGACGCTTTTTCGATCGACGAGTGCTGAATCTCATTTCAACGCCACGAGGTCGGGTGAATCTTTTGAGAAACGAAAACGCGTTTGTGTCATTTATTTTGCTAATTTTTTTTTTTACAACCTGCGTCATTCACTGACATCAGCTCTATTTCCTAAGAGGAAAAAGTTGATAGATGATCAGACACTTTTAGCTTATTTTTAATATTGAAGATCGAAGGTGATCGAAGGTAATCGAAGGTAAGTAAGTTGTGTATACAAGTAAGAAATTTTAATAATCATACACGGCTCAGAAGTGAATAATTAATCCTAATGTATGCTATGCTATAGTATTCACTAAAGTGTGAAGAAAAAACCGTGTTGTTCATAGTTCCTTCATCGGTATAGCTGAGTGTACAATCACGTAAGGCTGAAAATAGGAGCAAACGCTAACATTCCAATGGAAAAGAAAGGAAAATTTATTTAGGAACGGATGTCACGTGTACAAAAGATTGCGCAACAAGTCTCGAGGAAGTTATTGTGGTGCGTTGCATTTCCACTTCCTTACGTGTACTTGTGACTCATGCGCCAAAGCACAACAAGTCACCGGGTAACAAGTGGTACACGAAGAGAAAAATCATGGAGCAAACGCATAGCGGCGATGTAAATGCCCCCCCCCCCTTTTTTCACCCTATACGCCATTGGCTCACGACGTCTATGCTTTCAACGCAAGTGAGTAACCCCTGACTTTGTTTTACGTGCCACTGCTTCTTGTACTCACGTGTTGATCGAGTAAAAAAATTCTACCTCCCTTTCTCATCATCCCACCGAAAATAAGAGTTTTTCGGTATATTTTTCGTTCAAACAGTCGGAGAAAAATCTCTTCTCACCCTATTCATCATCACCTCCACGCACGAGGCCACAAATTCGAATATCAAAAGACAAAAGACGCTCCTCAACTGCAGCGAGAGTGTCAAGACGGAGGGAAAAAAAATCGCTTCAAGACGCACGCACACGCGTACATACATACACGGAGAGTGAGCGTGAAATTCGCGAGCGAAAGAGAAAAATTGCGAGGGAAAAGGGGCTGAGGGAGAAACCCGTAGTGGGGGGGGGGATACACATCCCAGCCGAAAACGAAACAATGCCGTACCCACTGCGCTGCATATATGTGTTAGTATATAAGTACAATTATTCTCACGGGGCCGCTGGTACAATACTTGCACTCCACGAAAGCGAACCCGTTCCTTTTCGGCGCACTACACGGTATGTATACGTGCAGGGCTCAGCTGCCGAGTTATACGTGTACAGCGTCTTTATCATCGACTCCCGTCGCGCACTTCCTTTCCCCCCCCCCCTGTTGGTTCTCTTTTTTTTTTTTTTTTTTTTTTTTTTTTTTCATTGCGTGTATCGATCGAAAACGCGGCGTTGCAATCGCTGCGCTAATTGATGCTCGGTGTTGCGGATGGAGGTCCGTTTGTCCGATGTCGAATTATTAGCGCGTTCGGTATAATCCGTTGGAAAGTCGCGTTTCGAAACCACCAGGGGCAGCGACAATAACAAAAAAAAAAGAAGGAGGCAATGTATATATGTATATGCTCCGCGGTAAAGCTTCCAGTGCGCATTTTATCGAAAATCACGCGCTCTGTAATTTGTGCGGTTTTTTTTTCTTTATTACATGTACAGGTGGAGGGAAGAACGATTATTGTCTTTTTTTTTTTTTTTTTTTCCATTAAGGTGGTAAGCACTCGCTCGCGCGTATACCGATTAACGAGCGAGTAACTATATATACACAGCCGATTTCGATCTGCGGATAAACATACATATATAAATACACGAGCAATTAATCGTCAACGCGGAGTGTCCTATTTGCACGATCCGAGAAAGAAAAAAAAATTGAATGCTGCACTTCTCACGCGCTAATATTAATAATTATCGTCGAACACGAAAAGTGCCCTCCCAACACAACCATCATTTGTTAAAGTGTTCCCCATCTATGGCGATCGATTTGTAGTGTTATATAATAATGTTTATTTTTTTTTTTTTTTTACTCAAGCATATGAATATTTGGTTCGTATGACCTCACGTATAATATAGGTGAGCTCATCGATTGTGTTTACCAGAGCTTCGTTTTCCCTGTATACACCCATATGGGTTGCCAATGCAAGGCTTGGGAGAATACATACGCAATCTCTGTCAGCCAAGGGGGGGAGGTAAGAAATACTTGGGAGAGTGAAAGAGTATCACACGCTGGTCGCGCATCCTTGGCGTCCTTGGTGGGATTTAATTGAGCTCCGCTCGGCGCATCTCATTTGGCCGAGTGGAACCTTGGGTAGGTAGCCTGTCATATATTATCTACGGGAACCCCCCCTATTGCCCCTCTCGAAAATTGCACCGTAACGGTTTTGCAAACCGAGCGATGGACACGGTATAGTTCGGATGGTTTCAACGACTCCCTTCTTTTTTCTCCCCGTCGAGCAAAATGAAAAACCCACAACTCGATTCATACGAGTATATCTACCGAGTGCGCGTGTACTAAAAAAAAAAAGAGGGGCGATAGAACAAACTCTATGTATAAATATGGTATTAATAACAAGTAACGCAATCGAGGGCCATATCTTGGCGTTGAAACATTTTTCGCCAACCTTGGGATATTTATGTGCCATTCTCCCCCCGTTTAACCATAATTGCCCTGTTATTATACAAGTGCCCCGACTTTTGTTTTTCGCCATGCATATCAGAGAGAGGTTTCACTTTCGTCGTCGGCTCTTTTTCCACTTCACATACATGTATTTATATATTACTTTCAGGTGCACATATAAATGCGTTCGTGGAGTGGATACGTTGTACATATATATATATATATATATATATATATATATACCAACACGTGCATTAATCTTCCTCAGCTCGAGGTACATCAATCTAATCGCTTTCTTCTATTATATGGCTACTGATAACTGGGCGTTATTTTATTTCATTTCTTTAAACTGTGTTGGGTATATTATACTCGTTTGCTTTGTTGCACGAAACAGGAGACAAAAAGTGTGGGGAAACGGAGACTTTTCTTTCGCATTTGTTTGACAAACAAACGAGTCTGTAACCCTATATACATAGAGGACGAAATTTCTTCACAGATTACATCCACGTACAACCTACAAGTCTACATAACACACGCAACGTATAAGAAGACACTCCGGACTCCGGTCAAAAGCCCAGATCTCTGGAGTTTCCTGTATTATGTACATGCATGTATATATTTATGTAATAAGCTGAGCTCACCGCAAATCTCTCGCGCACCAACGGAGAACAACTTACAGCAGTCGTATACCAACGTGCATAAATGTATTTACACTTTGGGTGAAATCCAATAAGACACGTATATAGTACACGTCGCGTCCCGCAGTTTACGTGTGCATCGGAGAAACCTCG